CATTTAATTTTATCCATTGATCTTTATCTATAGAATTTCATCTGAATTTCATCCATGGAATTTTATCCATTGAATTTTATCCACTAAATTTTATTGATTAGTTTTTATCCACTGAATTTCATCCATGGAATTTTATCCATTGAATTTTATCCACTGAATTTCATCCTTGGAATTTCATCCTTGGAATTTTATCCATAGAATTTAATCCACTGAATTTTATCCAGAGAATTTCATCTTAATTTCATCCATTGAATTTATCCATGGAATTTCATCCACTGAATTTTATCCATGGAATTTTATCCACTAAATTTTATTAATTGGTCTTTATCCACTGAATTTCATCCTTGGAATTTCATCCACTGAATTTAATCCATGGAATTTTATCCATTGAATTTTATCCACTGACCTTTATCCACTGAATTTTATCCCTTTTAATTTTATCCACTCAATTTTATGGATTGGTTTTTATCCACTGAATTTCATCCATGGAATTTTATCCACTGAATTTTATCCAGAAAATTTCATCTGAATTTCATCCTTTGAATTTATCCATGGAATTTCATCCATTTAATTTTATCCATTGATCTTTATCTATAGAATTTCATCTGAATTTCATCCATGGAATTTTATCCATTGAATTTTATCCACTAAATTTTATTGATTAGTTTTTATCCACTGAATTTCATCCATGGAATTTTATCCAGAGAATTTTATCCAGAGAATTTTATCCAGAGAATTTCATCCAGAGAATTTTATCCATTGATCTTTATCCACTGAATTTTATCCATGGAATTTTATCCACTGAATTTTATCCATTGAATTTTATCCATTGACCTTTACCCACTGAATTTTATCTTTTTAATTTTATCCACTAAGTTTTATTAAATGTTTTTTATCCACTGAATTTCATCCTTGGAATTTCATCCACTGAATTTTATCCATAGAATTTAATCCACTGAATTTTATCCAGAGAATTTCATCTTAATTTCATCCATTGAATTTATCCATGGAATTTCATCCACTGAATTTTATCCATGGAATTTTATCCACTAAATTTTATTAATTGGTCTTTATCCACTGAATTTCATCCTTGGAATTTCATCCACAGAATTTAATCCACTGAATTTTATCCAGAGAATTTCATCTTAATTTCATCCATTGAATTTATCCATGGAATTTCATCCACTGAATTTTATCCAGAAAATTTTATCCCTTTAATTTTATCCACTAAATTTTATTAATTGGTTTTTGTCCACTGAATTTTATCCCCTGAATTTTATCCAGAGAATTTCATCTGAATTTCATCCTTTGAATTTATCCATGGAATTTCATCCATTTAATTTTATCCATTGATCTTTATCTATAGAATTTCATCTGAATTTCATCCATGGAATTTTATCCAGAGAATTTTATCCAGAGAATTTTATCCAGAGAATTTCATCTGAATTTCACCCAGAGAATTTTATCCATTGATCTTTATCCACTGAATTTTATCCATGGAATTTTATCCCTTTAGTTTTATCCACTAAATTTTATTAAATGGTTTTTATCCACTGAATTTCATCCTTGGAATTTTATCCACTGAATTTTATCCATTGAATTTTATCCATCGACCTTTACTCACTGAATTTTATCTTTTTCATTTTATCCACTAAATTTTATTAAATGGTTTTTATCCACTGAATTTCATCCTTGGAATTTCATCCACTGAATTTCATCCTTGGAATTTTATCCGTAGAATTTAATCCACTGAATTTTATCCAGAGAATTTCATTTATCCATTGAATTTTATCCACTGACCTTTATCACTGAATTTTATCCCTTTTAATTTTATCCACTCAATTTTATGGATTGGTTTTTATCCACTGAATTTTATCCATGGAATTTTATCCACTGAATTTTATCCAGAAAATTTCATCTGAATTTCATCCTTTGAATTTATCCATGGAATTTCATCCATTTAATTTTATCCATTGATCTTTATCTATAGAATTTCATCTGAATTTCATCCATGGAATTTTATCCACTAAATTTTATTGATTAGTTTTTATCCACTGAATTTCATCCATGGAATTTTATCTGTTGAATTTTATCCAGAGAATTTTATCCAGAGAATTTTATCCAGAGAATTTCATCTGAATTTTATCCATTGAATTTTATCCATTGACCTTTACCCACTGAATTTTATCTTTTTCATTTTATCCACTAAATTTTATTAAATGGTTTTTATCCACTGAATTTCATCCTTGGAATTTCATCCTTGGAATTTTATCCATAGAATTTAATCCACTGAATTTTATCCAGAGAATTTCATCCACTGAATTTTATCCAGAAAATTTTATCCCTTTAATTTTATCCACTAAATTTTATTAATTGGTTTTTGTCCACTGAATTTTATCCAGAGAATTTCATCTGAATTTCATCCATTGAATTTTATCCATTGACCTTTATCCAGAGAATTTTATCCACTGAATTTTATCCATTGACTTTGATCCATTGAATTTTATCCATAGAATTTCATCTGAATTTCATCCGTGGAATTCTATCTATGGAATTTTATTCATTGACCTTTATCCATGGAATTTTATCCACTGAATTTTATCCATTGAATTTTATCCATGGAATTTTATCAACTGAATTTTATGCAGAGAATTTTATCCAGAGAATTTCATCTGAATTTCATCTGAATTTTATTCATTGAATTTTATCCATAGAATTTCATCTGAATTTAATCCATGGAATTTTATCCACTGAATTTTATCCATTGAATTTTATCCATTAACCTTTATCCATGGAATTTTATCCACTGAATTTCATCCATGGAATTTTATCTGCCCAATTCCATCCGTTGAGATTTACCCGTTGAATTTTATCCCTGGAATTTTCCCTATGGAATTTTATCCCCAATCGACCCGCTGCGATTTTCCCAAAGGATTTTTCCCACCTGCACAAAACCCGAGCTAAATTAAATTAAACTTCATTAAACTAATTAATCACTCAGCACAACGCTGCCGTTTCGACCCCCAACGCTTTTTTTTTTTTTTTTTTTTTTTTTTTTTAAATTACTTTTCACCCTCAAATTAAATTTGGGATTAATTTCTTTATTAAAACGTTCCTCCCGGAGATTCCAGATTATCATTCCGTTCCCAGGAGGAAGAGCTCTTCCCGTTTAACCTGGACGAGTTCGTCACGGTGGACGAGGTGCTGGACGAAGCCGAATCTCCGGCGACGCCGCGGCGAAACCCCCCGAGGGGGAAGAGAAAAGAAGCTCCCAAATCCAACCCTTCGGAGCCGCCGGCGTCCAAGAAGAGGAAAGGGAAGAGTTGCGGAGCCGAAGGTGAGCTGTCCTTTGTCACCTTGGATGAGATCGGGGAGGAGGAGGAGGAGGACGCGCCGGTGCCGCTGCCGGGCGTCGACCCCCAGGGCCTGGTGGTGGTGGATGAGGTGGTGGAAGAGGAGGAGCTGTCGGAAGCGGTGAAGGATCCGCAGGCGCTGCTGACGCTGGACGAGATCTCGGAGCAGGAGGAGCCGGGTTCCCACGGGAACGGGCCCAGGGTGGAATTTGAGGAGCGGGAGCTGAAGGCCGAGCCCTTGGTGACCGTGGATGAGATCGGGGAGGTGGAGGAGCTGCCCCTCAACGAGCCCGCGGAGCTGAGCGCCGCCGAGGAGGGCAAAGCCAATGCCGGGGATTGCGGCGCCTCCCAGGTGCCCGACGATCCCAACGCCTTGGTGACCGTGGATGAGATCCAGGAGGACAACGAGGACAATCCTCTGATGACTCTGGATGAGGTTAACGAGGATGAGGATGATTTCCTGGCCGACTTCAATCACCTCAAAGAGGAACTAAACTTTGTTACAGTCGATGAAGTCGGCGACGAGGAAGAAGAAAACTCTTTCCCAGGGAAGAACCCGCCTGAAGATGAAGATGAAGATGATGAAGATATTGTTGCTGTTGCAGGACCAGAAGAAATGGGAATTCTGGGAGATACAAATCCAGAGGAGGAAATGGCTGAAATCTCTAAGCCAAAAGGTGAGGAACATCAAGGCCAGCTTGGACAGGGCTTGGAGCCACCTGGGCTGGTGGAAGGTGTCCCTGTCCATGTCCTTCAGGTTCCTCCCAATCCAAACCATTCCATGACTCCATCATTCCATGATTCCGTTCCGTGATTCCGTGATTCCGTGATTCCATCCCAACGTGCGTTTCTGTCTCCAGCAGCTCAGCTGGGATCAGAAGAGGCAGAACCAAAATCTCAGCAGAAGAAAACGACTTTTCCAGGTGTCCCCAAGACTCAGAGCACTCCCAAAGGTAAATCCAAAGGAATTCCCCAAAAAACGCTCCGGCTTTTCCGGGCTGGGAGATTCTTTCCCACCCCTTTGAAAACTCCTCCCGTGTGAACCTCAGAGGGCCCAGAATCCGTGGATTTTCTCGGCTCTTCCAAATCCGTGTTTAACCGGTCGGTTAAACTCAGAAATCACGCGTGGAAAGTTCTTTTTTTTCCCTGGAATTCCCAAATCCAGGTGGAATTCTTGATTATTGCCAGGTGTGGTGTCTCCCCGAGGGTTCCCATCCTCCGGCAAGATTTATTCCCAATATTCAGTGTTTGGAAAGGAGGGAATTGCTGCCAGGGATGTGAAATGGGGGTGGAGAGATGTAGAATTCCAGGGGGTCAGTCCTCCAGGAATTCCTGAATTTCCATGAGGTCAGTCCTCCCGGAATTCCTGAATTTCCATGGGGTCAGTCCTTCAGGAATTCCTGAATTTCCATGGGGTCAGTCCTTCAGGAATTCCTGAATTTCCATGGGGTCAGTTCTTCAGGAATTCCTGAATTTCCATGGGGTTGGTCCTTCTGGAATTTCCATGAGGTCGATTCTTCAGGAATTCCTGAATTTCCATAAGGTCGATTCTTCAGGAATTCCTGAATTTCCATGGGGTCAGTCCTTCAGGAATTCCTGAATTTCCATGGAGTCAGTTCTTCAGGATTTCCTGAATTTCCATGAGGTCAGTCCTCCAGGAATTCCTGAATTTCCATGGGGTTGGTCCTTCAGGAATTCCTGAATTTCTATGGGATCGGTTCTTCAGGAATTCCTGAATTTCCATGGGGTCAGTTCTTCAGGAATTCCTGAATTTCCATGAGGTCACTTCTTCAGGAATTCCTGAATTTCTATGGGATCAGTCCTTCAGGAACTTCCCAAGTTTTCATGAGGTCAGTTCTTCAGGAATTGTTCCAACTTCCATGGGGTCAGTTCTTCAGGAATTCCTGAATTTCCATGGAGTCAGTCCTTCAGGAATTCCTGAATTTCCATGGGGTCAGTCCTTCAGGAATTCCTGAATTTCCATGAGGTCAGTCCTCCCGGAATTCCTGAATTTCCATGGGGTCAGTTCTTCAGGAATTCCTGAATTTCCATGGGGTCAGTTCTTCAGGAATTCCTGAATTTCCATGGGGTCGATTCTTCAGGAATTCCTGAATTTCCATGGGGTCGATTCTTCAGGAATTCCTGAATTTCCATGGGATTTCTCACTCTATTCCCAGAAAACGCCGCGTTTATTGGGAATGTTGATGACATTGACGGGTTGAAACGAGGCAGGGCCCAGCTTGGGTGAAAACCCTGATTTTTTGGAATAATAAAAGAACCGTAATTTCCCCCTGAGGAATCCCAAATTCCCCAGATTTGGTTGGAATATTTCTTGGATCTGTGGAATATCTCACGGTGATCGTGGTTTATCCTCAGCTCTGGATATCCTGGTCCCGAAGGCCGGATTCTTCTGCCAGATCTGCTCCCTCTTCTACGCCGACGAACCCTCCATGATCAACCACTGCAGGACCTCCCTGCACCGGCAGAACATGGAGGTACCGCCCGGAAAAACGGGAATATCTCCCCCAGAATCCTTGGATTCCACAATTCCCTGGGTGTTCAGCTTTGGTGGGGTGTGGGAATGTGGAATATTTTCATTCCGTGCCCAGGTTGTTGGGAATTCCGATGGTTGAGATTCGGCCGCGTTCCACTCCGGGAGGTTCCCGCGTCAAAGGGAAGCAAATTTGGGGGGTTTGATGGGATAAATCCCACCTTGGAGGAGCTGAGTGGACCTCAAGCTGTTCCTGGTTCGGGTTTTTTGGGAATAATCCTGGAAAATCCCTGCAGTGCCAACTTTTCTCCCTTTTCCACAGAAATTCATGGCCAAACAGCAGGATAACGACGGAGAGGAGCCGAGCTCCAGGTGATGGAACTTCCCCAGGAACGAAACTTCGGGGCCAGTCAGTTCTGTGTGTTTGGATTTCGTTTGGGGTCGGGAAGGAACATCCATGATGGAAAAAAAAAAAAATTGGAGTTGGGAAAAGACTAAACCCAAAGCAGGAGAGGGTTGGATTTGTGTCTCCGATCGTCCCAACGAGGGGAGAGACTGTTGTGGGCCAGGAAATAAATGTTCTCTCTGTATAGTTACCCCAGGGATTGAGTTTGGGGTCATTCCGTGGGGTTTGGAGACTCTGGATGGCACCGGAGATCCGGGAGATCCATGGAGAGAGCCACGGGAAGGGTCCGGAGCTCCAGGAGAGGCTGAGGGAGCTGGGGATGGGGCTCAGCCTGGAGAAAATGAGGCTCAGGGGGGGAACTTCTGGCTCTGGAAAACTCCCTGGATTCTTGGAGCCAGGTGGGAGCTGGGATCTGCTCCCAGGGAACGGCCTCGAGCTGTGCCAGCTTGGACTTTGGGAGAATTCCGTTTTGGAAAGGGCTGTCCAGCCCTGGCAGGGGTGGGGTCCCCATCCCTGGGGGGATTTCACGCCCTGTGGCACTTGGGGACACGGACACCGCTGGCCTGGGCACAGCTGGGCTCGATGGCCTCAGAGGGTTTTTCCCAATTCCATGATTCCATGAATCCCTGCCCTCAACCCAAACAATTCCATGAATCCCAACCCGCCGCCAGCCCTCTCAGTTCCACGGTGACATTCCAAACTTGGGGACCTCTCTGGAGCACTCAGCCCCTCCTGGGCCTCAGGAGCAGCCGACAGAAGAGCCACGGGAATCCAGGAATTCCTTTCATTCCTTTCATTCCTTTGCCCGGAGCTTGGGGCACCTTCGGCGTTTTTGGGAATTCAGCCAGGTGGGTCGGAAGGGGAAACTCGGAAGAACTCCGGGAATGCCGAAGTTTTCTGGGATCAGCGCTGGGGACCGGAGAGCGGCCGTGGGTGAGGGAAAGGTGCCCCTGGCAGCGATGGGGTGGGCAGGGAGGTGTCCCCTGCTCCGTTGGGCACGGCTCCTGGTCAGGAAAGTCATTCCCACTGGGACATCTCGTGGTGGATTAAATCTTCCCATTGGGACAGAGTTTTGTATCCGTTGGTTTTCCCTTCCTGTTCTTGGTGTCTCTTGGCTTTTCCTTGGAATGGGTCTTGGTTGATGGGTTCTTCCATGTGGGACATCTCCTGGTTGATGGGTTCTTCCGTGTGGGACATCTCTTGGTTGATGGGTTCTTCCACATGGGACATCTCCAGGTTGGTGGGTTCTTCCGTATGGAACATCTCCTGGTTGATGGGTTCTTCCATGTGAGACATCTCCTGGTTGATGGGTTCCACATAGAATGTCTCCTGATTGATGCGTTCTTCCACATGGAATGTCTCCTGGTTGATAGATTCTTCCACATGGAATGTCTCCTGGCTGGTGGGTTCTTCCATGTGGAACATCTCCTGATGGATTAAATCTTCCCATTGGGACAGAGTTTTGTACCCTTTGACATTCCCTTGGCGCTGCTCTGGGTGTCTCTTGGTGTCACCTTGGCACGGATCTTGGTCAGTGAATTCTTCTGTTTGGGACTTCTCCTGGTTGATGGATTCTTCCACATGGAATGTCTCGTGGTTGATGGGTTCTTCCACGTTGGACATCTCATAGTTGATGGATTCTTCCACGTGGGACATCTCCTGGTTGATGGGTTCTTCCATGTGAGACATCTCTTGGTTGATGGATTCTTCCAACTGGAACATCTTGTGGTTGATTGGTTCCACATGGAATGTCTCCTGGTTGATGGGTTCTTCCATGTGGAACATCTCCTGGCTGGTGGGTTCTTCCATGTGGAACATCTCCTGATGGATTAAATCTTCCCATTGGGACAGAGTTTTGTACCCTTTGACATTCCCTTGGTGTTGCTCTGGGTGTCTCTTGGTGTCACCTTGGCACGGATCTTGGTCAGTGAATTCTTCTATTTGGGACTTCTCCTGGTTGATGGATTCTTCCATGTGGAACATCTCATGGTTGATGGGTTCTTCCACATGGAATGTCTCGTTGTTGATGGATTCTTCCACGTGGAACATCTTGTGGTTGATGGATTTTTCCCATTGGAACATCTCTTGGTTGATGGATTCATCCATGTGGAACATCTCTTGGTTGATGGATTCATCCATGTGGAACATCTCCTGGTTGATGGATTCTTCCACATGGAATGTCTCTTGGTTGATGGATTCTTCCACATGGGACATCTCATGGTGGATTAAATCTTCCCATTGGGACAGAGTTTTGTATCCGTTGGTTTTCCCTTCCCATTCTTGGTGTCTCTTGGCTTTTCCTTGGAATGGGTCTTGATTGATGGGTTCTTCCGTGTGGAACATCTCCTGGTTGATGGGTTCTTCCACATGGGACATCTCCAGGTTGGTGGGTTCTTCCACATGGGACATCTCCAGGTTGGTGGGTTCTTCCATATGGAACATCTCCTGGTTGATGGGTTCTTCCATGTGAGACATCTCCTGGTTGATGGGTTCCACATAGAATGTCTCCTGATTGATGCGTTCTTCCACATGGAATGTCTCCTGGCTGGTGGGTTCTTCCATGTGGAACATCTCCTGATGGATTAAATCTTCCCATTGGGACAGAGTTTTGTACCCTTTGACATTCCCTTGGTGTTGCTCTGGGTGTCTCTTGGTGTCACCTTGGCACGGATCTTGGTCAGTGAATTCTTCTCTTTGGGACTTCTCCTGGTTGATGGATTCTTCCACATGGAATGTCTTGTGGTTGATGGGTTCTTCCACGTTGGACATCTCATAGTTGATGGATTCTTCCACGTGGGACATCTCCTGGTTGATGGGTTCTTCCATGTGAGACATCTCTTGGTTGATGGATTCTTCCACATGGAATGTCTTGTGGTTGATGGATTCTTCCACGTGGAACATCTCCTGGTTGATGGATTCTTCCACATGGAATGTCTCTTGGTTGATGGATTCTTCCACATGGGACATCTCATGGTGGATTAAATCTTCCCATTGGGACAGAGTTTTGTATCCGTTGGTTTTCCCTTCCCATTCTTGGTGTCTCTTGGCTTTTCCTTGGAATGGGTCTTGATTGATGGGTTCTTCCGTGTGGAACATCTCCTGGTTGATGGGTTCTTCCATGTGAGACATCTCTTGGTTGATGGATTCTTCCACCTGGAACATCTTGTGGTTGATGGGTTCCACATAGAATGTCTCCTGATTGATGGGTTCTTCCACATGGAATGTCTCCTGGTTGATGGATTCTTCCACGTGGAATGTCTCCTGGTTGGTGGGTTCTTCCATGTGAGACATCTCTTGGTTGATGGATTCTTCCACCTGGAACATCTTGTGGTTGATGGGTTCCACATGGAATGTCTCCTGATTGATGGGTTCTTCCACATGGAATGTCTCCTGGTTGGTGGGTTCTTCCATGTGGAACATCTCCTGATGGATTAAATCTTCCCACTGGGACAGAGTTTTGTACCCCTTGACAGTCCCTTGACGCTGCTCTGGGTGTCTCTTGGTGTCACCTTGGCACGGATCTTGGTCAGTGAATTCTTCTATTTGGGACTTCTCCTGGTTGATGGATTCTTCCATGTGGAACATCTCATGGTTGATGGGTTCTTCCACATGGAATGTCTCGTTGTTGATGGATTCTTCCACGTGGAACATCTTGTGGTTGATGGATTTTTCCCATTGGAACATCTCTTGGTTGATGGATTCATCCATGTGGAACATCTCTTGGTTGATGGATTCATCCATGTGGAACATCTCCTGGTTGATGGATTCTTCCACATGGAATGTCTCTTGGTTGATGGATTTTTCCATTTGGGACATCTCCTGATGGATTAAATCTTCCCATTGGGACAGAGTTTTGTACCCTTTGACATTCCCTTGGCGCTGCTCTGGGTGTCTCTTGGTGTCACCTTGGCACGGATCTTGGTCAGTGAATTCTTCTCTTTGGGACTTCTGGTTGATGGATCTTTCCATGTGGAACATCTCCTGGTTGATGGATTCTTCCACATGGAATGTCTCCTGGTTGATGGGTTCCACATAGAATGTCTCTTGGTTGATGGATTCTTCCATGTGAGACATCTCCTGGTTGATGAGATCTTCCCATTGGGACGTCTTGTGGATGATGGATTCTTCCACGTGGGACATCTCCTGGTTGATGGGTTCTTCCATGTGAGACATCTCTTGGTTGATGGATTCTTCCACCTGGAACATCTTGTGGTTGATGGGTTCCACATGGAATGTCTCCTGGTTGATGGGTTCTTCCATGTGGAACATCTCCTGGCTGGTGGGTTCTTCCATGTGGAACATCTCCTGATGGATTAAATCTTCCCATTGGGACAGAGTTTTGTACCCTTTGACATTCCCTTGGCGCTGCTCTGGGTGTCTCTTGGTGTCACCTTGGCACGGATCTTGGTCAGTGAATTCTTCTCTTTGGGACTTCTCCTGGTTGATGGATTCTTCCACATGGAATGTCTCGTGGTTGATGGATTCTTCCACGTGGGACATCTTGTGGTTGATGGGTTCTTCCATGTGAGACATCTCTTGGTTGATGGATTCTTCCACATGGAATGTCTCGTGGTTGATGGATTCTTCCACGTGGAACATCTCCTGGTTGATGGGTTCTTCCACATGGAATGTCTCTTGATTGATGGATTTTTCCATTTGGGACATCTCGTGGTGGATTAAATCTTCCCATTGGGACAGAGTTTTGTATCCGTTGGTTTTCCCTTCCCGTTCTTGGTGTCTCTTGGCTTTTCCTTGGAATGGATCTTGGTTGATGGGTTCTTCCATGTGGAACATCTCCTGCTTGATGGGTTCTTCCATCTGAGACATCTCCTGGTTGATGGGTTCCACATAGAATGTCTCCTGATTGATGCGTTCTTCCACATGGAATGTCTCCTGGTTGATAGATTCTTCCACATGGAATGTCTCCTGGCTGGTGGGTTCTTCCATGTGGAACATCTCCTGATGGATTAAATCTTCCCATTGGGACAGAGTTTTGTACCCTTTGACATTCCCTTGGTGTTGCTCTGGGTGTCTCTTGGTGTCACCTTGGCACGGATCTTGGTCAGTGAATTCTTCTATTTGGGACTTCTCCTGGTTGATGGATTCTTCCATGTGGAACATCTCGTGGTTGATGGATTCTTCCACATGGAACATCTCGTGGTTGATGGGTTCTTCCATGTGAGACATCTC